CCCCCTCCCGCAAACATAACCACTAACCCTACTTCTAATACTGGTTTGTATATGTCTGTTTCTAAAAATTTTTTTAAAAGGTTAAACCGTATGTTTTCTCTGTTTTAGTAGCATCTTTAGATTGGCATATACTTCACACAACATAAAACTCCCCACTTTAATGCGTACACTTCAGTGGTTTTTACTATATTCTCTATTTTCTGCAATCATCAGCTTTATCTCATTCCAGAACATTTCCATTCCCCCCACCAGCCCCCAAACAACCTGTGCCTATTAGCAGTCAGTCCCATTAGCATGTCTTTTTTGTTTCTGCTTGTAAGATCCATGTGCTATGTTCAGTAGCCAATATTTTCTTTATTAGAGTCTAAGAAGTACACATTTTTCTAATTAATTTTGGTTACACACACACAAGACAACTGGTTTTGATGTTGGTTACACACAAGTACCAATCAGAGGGAGTTAGAAAACACTGGTGCGTAGGCCCCACCACGAATAAATGACAATCCTGGCTGGGCATCAGTAGTGTTGAACATTCTCACCATGATTCTACTGTGTAGCCAGGGTTAAGAACTACCAACAGCTTACCTAACTGGAAGACTGAACCTGACCAGAAAGAGGCGCTAATTAAAAGACCGGTTTTCCTGGGCCCTCAGACACCCTGAACTAGCATCTTGAGAGGGAAGGTCTAGGAATCCACATTTTGACAAGTGGCCCATGTGCTTCTCATAGGGCAGTTTTAGAAATACTGCAGGAAACCAATGATTATTTACAAGAAAATAAATGACTTCATCAACAGAGGCTTCTACTGCTTTTAAACAAGAAAACACAAATGCTAATTTAAAACATTTTTTTACTTAATATACTTTTATTGCTTTCAGATAGGGAGGGAGAGGGAGAGAGAAATAGAACCATTAATGATGAGAGGGAATCATTAATTGGCTGCCTCCTGCACGCCCCCTACTGGGGATCGAGCCTGCAACCCAAGCATGTGCCCTTGACCAGAATCAAACTCGGGACCCTTCAGTCTGCAGGCTGATGCTCTATCCACAGAGCCAAACCAGCCAGGGCTAATTTAAAACATTTTTAATACATTAATAAAAACTATTGTAATGGATATTTAATTGGAGTGATGAGGGGGAAAATATATTACATCTGCCTCATTTCTTTAAATTTGATGTTAGTACAGAGTGGAAACCTTTTGGGAAGTAGCCTTTTCCACCTCCTGCTCTGAGGTTAGCACAGGAAACAGGTCTACTTTTTTTAGACATCAAACCAGTCTCAATGTGGCCAACATACTGTGCAATTCCCAATGTGCCTTTCACTCATAGTAGACAGTGTGCAAAGAGTCTTCTTCACATCACCAGATAAATGCACTGGAAAAATTTTAAAATGCAACTGTCAAGAAAAATGACAAACAAAATAGAAAAGGAAAAAAAATCAGAAAATGCAACCTCAGAATAGTCTGAAATAGACTTCACTACTATTGTAGTATAACGGTAACAGCTCTGCACATGGAGAAGAACATTTTGTTAGACTCTGGAGTTGGCCTTGCGCCGTTGGCATGTATTCCTGTGGGTTGCTCCTGGGGCCGGGATCGTGGTTGGTATCGTATTCTGTACATCCTCAGCTCTTAATAATGGACCGCTCTCTTTATTGAAGGCTATCTTCCATCACTGGTCTACTGCATGATTAGATATGACCTGGTAATTTTTCACCTTATCAGTTGGACACTAACAGTAAACGAAGTTCAATTATTTAGTGTGTTAGTTCAATACATTAAATGATGTTATAGTTGTCTGAACATACTAATTTTAAAATAAAAATTTAATTTCAGGATAGCTTAGATGTACAGAAAAGTTGTAAAAATGACTCAGAGAATCCCCATATACTCCACCTAGTTTCCCTTATTATTAGCGTCTTCTATTAATATGGTACAATATAATTAATAAGCCAATGCTGATACATAGTTACTCACTAGAGTCCATACTTGACTCCGATTTCTTTAGTTTTTGCCTAATGACTTTTTTCTGTTCCGGGATTCAGTCATCACGTCTCCCTATGCTCCTCTTGGCTGTGACTGCTTCTCAGGCTAGACTGGATTTCTTCATAACCTTGACAGTTTTGAGCAGTGCCGATCTGGAATTTTTTAGAATGCCACACACTAAAAAACTTTTAAAGATAACCTAATTTATTCCTAGAGTCAATTAGTGCATTAGAAAAATCTGACTTAAAGCAATTCTAGAAGAAAAAAACCACCTTTTGGATGTGGTTCCAACTGTTAGAATAAGCTCAAATGGACTTGAATAATTGGTCGTACTATATAGAGAGATATAAAAATACAAGATAGAATAATTAAAACTAATAAGAATTGTCATTTCTAAAAGTTGGAACTTTATGTATTAATAAGAATTGAATTTATTACATTCCTCTGGGTTCCAATCTTTGTTGTTTTCACATAGCCATAGAGTTAATATTATTTCAAGTTCTGTTTTTTCACTTGTCACTATAAACTTGGTCATGTGTTGAAGTAAAATGCATACTTGACATTTTTTAACAGCACAGAACTCATTCCATCCTAGTAATCTATCATATTTGTGTAATACTCCCCATTGTGGAATATTTGGTTTGCCTCCCTTTTTATAATACTAGGACGATTTTGTACAGAACAGTTTACAGCTGAATGGACTTGCATTTCCTCCAGCAATGTCTGGAATGCATGCTTCCCCACAGGCTCTCCAGCAATGAGCCTTGCCCTTCAGACACTCTCTACTCTGACTAGCAGGGAATGCTGCTTTTAAAGTTGTTTGATTATGAACCTCATCATAGGACCAAAGCACATTTTCCCATGTCTCTTTGTATAAACTGTTTCCCCTTTCCAAGTGGAAATTAAATGCCAACCTTAGAGATGAAATTAGATGGTGGAAATTTTTTTTACTAATATGCCCCTTAGGAAGAGCTGTTCTTTTTGGGAAATGGGAGTTTGTAGTTGAGGGTGGATGTGAGAAGAGTCTTGGAGGCGGGGATGTTTGGGATATTTATTTTATAT